TTAGCACAACCCAGACAGGTTTGGGAAGTTCTAGTACGTTCTATGCTGACAGGGGCTTACAATAGAACATAAATCATAACAAAAATGATGCAATGCAGTCTATCAAATTTTTACATCAGTAATACATCAATATATACAAGAAAATCTCCCTAAACTTGCCAAAATAACTACTGCTTGGAATAGAAAATAATCAAAACACTTAGTTTACAAACATTATAATACCAAATTATGCCTTGGCATAAGTTGGTTATGTCAGGTTGTAAGGGGGGGGGGGGGTTAAATCTAAAACGACTCATTTCAGACAGAAATGGTCAAATTCGAACGAATCACACCAAATACCACGGAAAAACACAAACTTGTTGTCGAGCAGTAACTGTGGCTGAAACTATAAGTTTACCGATCATTTATCATATATACAGTATATTCGGTGGGGTAGACGACAAAATAAGGTCTAAAGTGCATCTACTAAGCACCACAGTAAGAATACATAAAGGGTGAGGAAATGAACGACTTAATTAAACACCAGTAATCTTGGACCAAGATAAGTTTTGTGGCTCATAACATATTTATAAAACTACATTGCTCTGTCTGCAAGTAATTGAAGAGTAAGAGACAATTCCTGTATATTTCTAGGCAATCATAATTAGTTAATTGTGATAGAGTACTGCACTGGCATAACCCCCTCCCCCCATGGCTGTTGCAAGTACGTTCGAATGACGATAATGTGTCATAAGGTTAATCATATTTACGCAATCATATCAAACTTCTCTTTATGCTTGCTGTTGTTTTATGAACAGTCGTTAATTATTACATGCCATGCTTTTGTTACGAATATGAGTGTTACTCAAATTCGTCCCTGTTTGACCATAATTAAGGCATGGAAGTACATTAATGGACATACTGTACAAGGAACAATTTGTATAGAGATGCTCATGGATTAGACAGAAAACATTGTTTTATAATTCATTATCGATGCTTAATGCTTATTTTATAGTATTAAAGTTAAATTTGGTTACATGAGGTTAAATCTCATATGAAGAGGTAAGGTAAGAATTTATAATGTAGTAGGGTTGTAGAGTGAGGAAAGTTGGTCGCGTGACTCGTGGGTGTAAAGATACAGGTTCAGTACAAGTGTAATATATAAAACACATGCGTGTTACAGCTTTATTTTACTAGTTCAACGGGGGGGGGGGGGTTAATGGGGGTTCGTACACAATATATAGTAGATTATGGTATATTCTTATTACCTAACAAGTAAAATGGGCACTTCCACTTAGTCGATCGTTGGGGAGGATCATGGATCACCACACTACCACCGTCTACACTCTACACAGCCAGCACTCACTTTGACACAATGAGTAGATTGCACATGATGGACTGGACTGAGACTTCTTTGCATTTACTGACGGACCTCTTCACTGCAACTGGTGAGACGACGAGCGGGACTGGGGAGCAAGTGTTGCTGACCCCTTCACTGTTATATCTGTGGAAGGAGCTGAAGGCTTTTATATTGGAGGTCTCAGGCCGACAGATGTCCTCTCTTAATTAGCACTAATCTGGGTATGTCTAGACAGGCTTGTTTGGTCAAGTGTCAGAAGTACTGGCTGGATAGCAATTCCTTGAATTAACAAGGTCATGGCGCCGGTTTAACTAATCACACGGCGGTGAGAACTCTGGTTCCCTTTGTGACCCGTGACCTCTGTTGGGTCAGGTCTTCAATCTCACCTTAGTCACTGTAGGGTGGGTCAGTTTACATGGGCGAACACCTGCTCCCCAGGTTACTGTTATGTCTAATGTTATTCTATTGGCCTGGGTGTTTTGGTCTGATAGATAAACAATATAGTTAGGTTTGTTTGGGCGGGGTTTGGTTAATTAAGTATTACCTAATTCATGTCTAGATCCAGCATGGCCATTTTATATGTATTTCCAAGTTTGTTTTTGGTTTTCTGCTAACTAAACTACAGTTTATACTACAGTACAGCGCTTTAAAATGGGTTAGTCGACCATGTGAATGATTTCACTCTCCGTAATGTGTGTGATATTTAAGGGATTGAATGCATAAATTAATACAAGTGTCTCATATTACTGTGCACACTGTTCAGTAGCAACTCCACTTCTTCTCGCAGATGTTTACTCCATTAAGTAATTTTAAACTAACAAAAAACGATAAGTGCAATTGGTAACACAACTTGGACGAGGCATTCTGTCTCCCAGGAGGAGCAAGGTTCTTGGTCGTAACTTTGCCTTGATGCTGAAAGTCCCTGACCGTCACAGTGACTAAATAGGCAGTAATGAGTGTCAATCAGTGGACACCGGTCCACACTGGTTTAAGCGGGTGTTGGTAACTGTGGGGGGAGGGGGGAGTTTAGAAGTGATACGGGTTGAGCTGATCTGAAATCTTACTTTGAGCCTGACTTGACGTCAAGCAATTGCTTCGCACATGGACTTTCAAGGTAGTTAGCCAGCTATAGGCTAATACTGGAAGATAGTCGATTACGATTTCATGGAATCTGAAGTAGGTTTACTATGCGGTGCATGGAAGTTAAATTCGTACGTTGGTGTTTTATAAGTTGTAGCCCCTGAGTTGCCTACATTCATCATTAAAATAAGAAATCTCTCGGCCAGTTTTTAATACCTGAATTTTATTGTGTTATTGAATGAGATGTGCCCGTGACACCCCTCCCCCCAGTCCACTAAATACTACTGTATTACTATTAACTATTTTCTGAGCCGGGCAGTAAGAACTGTAGTGAGGGTGGGGGGATTCTTGGGAGGGGAAGGGAATTACAGAAGGGATGTTAGTGGGCCCTAAATGCGGTCCTGAGTGAGTGAAATATGCACTTGGTCAGATATCGTCAATTGGTGTTTTATTTTTCATTCCAAGACTAGCCACCAGTGATCTGACGTCTTGTGTTGTTTTGTTCTACACTTTTGGTACTGTATGGTGATGGCTCCAAAGAGAAAGGCTGCATTTTGTGGCTTGTTTCCGTCAACAAAGCATATAAACATTCTAAATTATTTCACCAGTTAAGTCCTGTGTGTGTGTGGTTGTTATTGTTGTTGTTTTCAATGAACCACTTGCCTCAGCCTCAAACTGTACACAGCCTGTTGAGGCTGAGTCATCTAATGTGCTTGCCAGCACATGCTCTCCGTGACCACCGTGATAACACAGATTTCCTTAACGAGAATGAAAGTAGAAATCCAGTAAACGTCCAAGCTTTACTTCAGTTTCAACTACTGTACTGTGATTTTGAACAAAATCTCATATATCGCGTTTTTTCTCGACCCTGGAAAAAACGCATAAGGGTCCCCCCTTATGCGTTTTTCCACCCAAATATGATTATCACTCAGACATGAAATTTGGTGGGATTAATTTCAGTAATTAAGTACATCCATTAGAACATAACAGCACCAACCAAATACCTGAGAAACCAATAGCTGGAGAGTACTGAAGTAAGCATTGTGAAAAATTTCATTAAAATATTCCAAGCATCATTACAACCACTAATTATTCCGCAATCGAACTGTCGATGATAGCACCGGACTCGGCATGCTCAGGAGTACCTATACAGTACATGCTGGTAAAAAAGTGTTGGAGCAACACTTTAGAGCGGCTGGCAAGAACTGCACGTACAGATCAAAGACAATTCTAGATGAACTTCTAAGAATCTGAGATTTGTTCTTGAAATCTGTTTGTTGTTATTTTTCCTCTTTATGCTTATACTTTTGTTCCGTATCTTTCTCATTAGTAACAAGTGTGGGACACGGTGGCGTCAAGGTATACACAGCTTACTCGCTTCCGTAACAAACAGCCGTTTTCTCAGTCGTTCGGGAACTAGGTGAACACGTTCAGTTCAGGAACTAACTTCCCACACATGAATGGGTTTATTAAACACGTGTCCTAGACTTCTCATTCATGTGCGAGAAGTTAGTTCCTGAACTGAACGTGTTCACCTAGTTCCCGAACGACTGAGAAAACGGAACGAATGTGTCTCAGATTCGTTCCCGGAACCCGGGGTGCTGTGGGGTTAAGAGATATTTGTTCACACTCGGAATGGGATGGAGAAAGGAAACTCACAATGTGCTCACTGTATACATATTGTATTGGATGTACAATGCAGCTTGTTGCTGGGTAGGCAGCATGGTTACAAGCATTGAGTAGAGAGAGCTGGGTGGTGAGGGTGCCAGAGGAGGGCACGCGGCTTGAGGGACGCCAAGGTGGTGCGGGAGCCGCCAGACTGGCACGGAGGAGGTGTTGCTTCCTGGTGGCACGGGGTAGAAAGAGGCTGGTCACAGCGGTGTCAGGTCTTATAAGGCGGGGGTAGGCTTGGGTAGATAGTTGACCCCCGCTCCGTAGGCGGCGCTGGAGGCGTAGGCTAGGGAATTCGAGAAGGTTCGGTGCTTGTAGGGGAGGAATCCACTACAGTGCCGTACTAATGAGATTGCAATTTGTTGCAAAACTTAGCAAATAATCAAGATAATATTACTGTAATTTTGTTCATGGATATTTCTTGGATATTCCAATCATAAAAACCAATGGCAGCAATGAATCTCCCCTGAAAAGTTTCTGGATCCGCCCCTGAACTAGTGATATCTATATTTCGCATAGGTTCATGTAATAAAAAAGGAAACACCAACAATTTGTGGCTGGCGGTGTGATGAGACGGCTGCCTACGGGCTGTTTCCAAATTTTGAACATGTCTGTGGACTGTGCATGTATTATGAATAGACAGTAACATACACATATCCTCCCTTCTATGAGCCTCACCGAGGGTTATTTTCACAGTACCTAACGCGGTATCTTTTATTTCCTTTGGGTTGTACTCATGTTGTAATCGTTATTATATATAATGGTGAGGCCTATATAGCCAGTTGTCGGGAGTAAGAGTCAGTATTATTGGTTGTAGCCGAGCCCAGGAACAACAGAATTATCAACATACAGTAAACACTAAGAATTCTTGTATTGTGAATAGAAAATAACATCAGTATCTCTCTCCTAGGATGAGGATGGTTGGCTCCGGCTGGCCGTGTGTCGCCCTTGTGCTGGTAGTGATGGCTGCCAACTCCGCTGCTGAGGTCGTCTACCCATCACCTAAACCCGCAGAAACAGGTGGGTCATCCACGGGTCAAGGAGGGGATCACAGGGGTCAAGGAGGGGGATCACACAGGGGTCAAGGAGGATGATCACACATGGGTCAAGGAGGGGGGGGGCCGAGGGTAATCCCACAGGGGGCTAGGGGGAAGATCACATGGGGGGCCGAGGGAATCCCACAGGAGGCTAGGAGGAAGATCACACAGTAGGGTAAGGAGGACCATGCTGGGGGCTCACTCAGGGGCCACTTAAAGGTCAGGGGGTCTTTTAAAAGCTCCGGGTATCACATAATGGTCAGGGAAGGTCACACATAATATATACTGTATTACTATTATGAAAAAGAAAAATGATGTTTGGAGGTTTACCAAGTTGGTCTGTTTCGTCTTGATGTTGTGTTGTGTTTCCAGAGAATTCATACTGGTATGACCTGGCCATGAAGGACCTGAACGAGGCGCTCCACAAACCCAAGCTCACCAACGTTGCTAAGAATGTCATCCTCTTCCTTGGTGATGGTGAGTCGAGTCTTTTACAATGTCCCACCTGTCTCTTGTGCACTCGCTCTAAAAGTATCTTTACGGAGGAGTCCGATGAATCTAAAATGAACACCCCAATTCCTGTTGTCTCGATAGGGTTTTCAAAATACTTTGTCCATTGTCATGTTGTTTCGCACAAAATTGTAACGATACTTTTTAGAGCGAGTACAACCACACACCAGGTCTCTTACACAACACTCTAGAACAGACTAGTTTGAAAAAGGGTACGGTGGTTGTGTGCTTGGTGATGCCCCAGTCTTAATCACTCAGCTCAGCTGTGCCCATGACATCCATTCACAGATCACTGCGATTGGCTTATGGCATAGGCCCACACAGGCACTCATAGCTTGGTAGTAATTTATTAAACATAATATGAAGTCCCTGCTTTACACATGATATACAGCAAGGGGAGAATGATAATTAAAAACCTGCCCCTTACACCAACAGTAAGGAGGCATATCACATGTCCCAATAGGGCAAAGAAACAGCATTAACAGAGACTGAATGTGAAAAGGACTTGGGTGTGTATGTTGACAAGAAACTGAAGTTCTCAGGCCATTGTGAGAAGAAGGTGAATCAAGCAACTAAGTAAGCTAGTGCAGTAGGTTTTACAAGAAGGTTCTTCAGATATCTGTATCATCCGTCCCACGTAACGCTCTTCAAGGGTGAGGTGTTTCCCCGTTTGGATGGTGATTACTGCCTGGTCCCCTACACTTTGATACCTCCTGGTGGAGTGCCCGAGTCTTAGAGATTTACATCATAAGCACCTCTCTGGGTGCCGGGGGGAGACAGGTCTTACCGTCTCTCTTTGGTGCTGGAGGGGAGAGAGCGGGTAGCATGGAAGTAGGCATCTTCTCCTTCATGGAGGAAGCCAGCCTTCTACACAAGCTTTAAGTTTTATCGATTAACACTTAGAATTTTAGATGGTTTTTATGAAAGTTCTACGCTATTTATTATTTTTGCCTTGCATTATTTGTTTTTTGCCTTCTAAGCTTTGTTTATTTCTATGGCATATGACCTAAGCTGTTAAGTCACAAATGATGTTATTACCACAATCAGTCAATCAACCCCCATTTGGAGTACTGTCACCCAATCTGGTCCCTGAGATATGCTAGAGACTGTCAGTTGATTGAAAATGTCCAAAGGAGGGCCACTAGACTGGGTGCCTGTGCTATGGCACCTCATTTACCCAAAGAGATTAGAATCCCTGCAATTGCATAGCTTATATACTATAGGCAGATGAGGGGTGACTTATTTCAATTTTATAACCATATCAGAAGGCATTACTCAGTCGACTGTTCACACCTGGAGCTGGCGGACACCCGCCTCACGAGAGGTCACACCTCTAGGTTGAAGAAGCCCCAAGTCCAGAAATTTTGAAGGCAAACTTTTGGGGGTGAGAATTGTAAACTCTTGGAATAATTTGCCTGTTTGTTGTGACAGCACCGAGTTTGAGCTCTTTCAAGATTAGACTTGACCAACACTGGCACAGGTACAGATACATCTTGGAGTCAGTTTATGCCCAGTACTTGTCAAGAGTCTTTACTGTACAGTGTCTCTTTTTCCACTGAAGGCCCACAGAATTCACTTGAACATCTTACAAAATCTTCATTTTTATTTGAAATAAGATTACAAATAAGAGTATTATTAAGCATTTTTTAATCACTACCTGTTGATTTGTACATTTGTGGGATCAGTATTTATACATAACCTTAAGAAAACTACTTATATTTTTTTTATCATATGTTTGTACTGTACTTGCAGCATTGAAGCACATGTGTGAATTTACCCCAAATTTACATTGGCCCTTATTATACTGTACAGGCATTCCCCATTTGCAATGGGGTTACGTTCCTGAAAAACCATCTCAGGTCAAAATATCATAAATCACGATCATTATAACATGGTGTACAGGAGAAAATTACTATTATTACTTTTACTTTTCTTTTAATTTATTATTTACTTTGTTCCATTTTATTCTTTTCATTCTACTGGCTTATGCTTTATTTTCTACTTCAACTTCTCAAAGTATTTCTTTCTTTCTTTCTTAGCTGTATTTAATCCTTCTGTTATCTATGCCTTAGTTAATTTACTTCTTACGGTATACAGATAATCTTTATCCTCTTAAACCGGTGGTAGTATGGCGAGGTCTGGGGCACATGGATTCCTTAATTTGTATCTCATGTTATCAAGGTATGGGGAAGAACAAAGGTGATACTGTAGGATACTGATAACCCAACAACAATAAAAATAGTTTATTTAAAGTGAAGTTGAATACTTGACACTTTACCAGAACATATGCACATGAACCGCTCCTTGGGGTACACTCGAGACTTGACCAAATTTACATAAACATTGATACACACTCCAAAGACTGTTTGGCCTTACTTCCACATCATCCACACAAGTATTCACGTCAACAGGACCAATGTTCAGTCAAAAGTACAACTATAGGTTACTGGTAACATTCTGTTACAGTGACACTCAACAAAGATTGGTCGTCCACACTTCAATTTCATGACTACTTTTATTAACACTTAACAGCACTTCTCAAACACCCGTCACAAGCTTGTTCGTGTACAGGGGGTACAGTAATTATTATTACTCCCCACACTTGGGGATACAGGTTACTCTGGCACATATTTATCTTGACTCCATGAGTCAGTGACACAACCTTACCTCTCATCTCTTATCTTTTTACATTCCTCAAATCACAGGATACATCGGTATTTATTTACCAGGTGGAAATCAAATACCTGAGACAACAATTATGGATGCATACGAGATGTTACCACACCATGGCTTGCGCCAAGAATTTCATTTGTGACGTGACAGCTAAGTTTCGTCTTGTCCTAGGGTCGACCCATACCTCCTGGACACGGCCACACCCATAGGCTTATGACTCATCTGCCGCCCTCAATTTAAGATCTTAATCCCTGTGAATTAAAGACATCCTGTGTCAGACATCTTATTGGCTAATGGCCACCGCCTCTCAACAGCTCCAGCAACCCACATGGTGCCTGGTTGATGAGGGGAAGGGCGTTCAAAATGAATTGAATTCATAATACACGCTCCCTTTTATACACTGGGAATTTCACAGACTTATTTATCGATCTCAGTTACGGTACACATTGGCTTATGAAAATTAGTACAGTATTATAAGGCTTATATTAATTTTCTAAGATTAATGTTTAGAATCTAATCAGTGTTTGAGCTTTGCAATGCAACAAATTAAATTAATGTCCGGTACATAGGATGGCAATACTTTGTGGGTGGAGTCACAAACCACAACAACCGTTCTATCCAGGAATATAGTATATTAAACTTCAATGTATCTACAGTACAATGGACGAGTTGATGGTCGGAATTTTTTCGTAAGATGGCGGGTCAGAGGGTAAAGAAAACGCTTAGATTTACTATGGTAATGATATTTTAAAATAAACTGGGCCAAAAAGTGTCAAAAATAACGCTTAACATACAACGGTAACGGAGGTGGGGAGGGTAGTAACTCCAAACTAGTGATTTCCAATAGAAATCGTTCATAACACATCACAAACCATCAGAAAAAAAACAACGTAGTCTGCATGTCTAAGTACAGGAATGATCAAAACTTAAAATTTACCCAATACAGCCTATCTCGAATCTAAGCATCCAAATACTTATGGTAGTTAAAATAAAATTTTACCCAGATATAGAAATATGTTTGTAACAAAAGCAATTCCCTTTGGGAATTTACTTGAAAAATTTTGACACTATTATTGTACAATACAGTACTGTACAATACTGTACAGTATTGTATTTCTCTAACTCCATACGCCACTGTATGTATAGTTGTAAATTTAAATAATTAGTAAATGTAAAAAAAAAAAGTGCTGTACATGTACTGTATTAAAGCATTTACACTGTATAAGTATTGTGTATTGTACTGCATATTCCTTTTAGTTTTCATGTGAAAATATGCAAGTTTTATCTTCACATTTAAAATTCTGGATAATAAGAGCTTTTTGGTTACTTATATGCCAATAATAAAGCTTATCTTGCACAGTACTGTACAGTATGCAGAAGTTATGTATTTTTCACAAGGCCATTCTGTACATGGGGTTTTATTTATCATTAAGTGAATAGTATCCAGTAATTTTTCATGCAAATATCAATCCACTGTGTATGCTGCAGGTATGGGCATCACTGTGGGCACTGCTGGACGGATTCTGAAGGGACAGAAGAAGGGCCACTCAGGCGAGGAGGGTTACTTGGTATGGGACAGGTTTCCCAATATTGGTCTTCTGAAGGTGAGTTACTTTTTACATTTAACGAGATACAAGTTACTGGCCATTCAAAAGTTTGAATCCAAAAAGGTTTACAAAGAAAGATTGGAAATCAGTAGACAATAGGTGGAATTTGGAATTTTTTAGTTTGTGAAGTGCATGTTGACACTCATAGCTGTTTGTGAATATATTATGGATTTGGAAACTAATGTGAATTATGAGGTATTGTACCACAAACCCTTCTTGCCTTTCCTCCTCCAGTTTTTATGATTATTTTCTTCCTCTTAGTTATCTTTTTCCCCTGTTCCACAACTACTTCTCCCACGTTTTCTTCACCCATTGTGTTCCTCTTCATTATACTGCACTGCTCGTGCACCACTCGCAGGAAACATGTAGCATCAATACTAAATTCACAACAGTTAATCATAGAACCTAATACATGTACCAAATAATTATTGAGAAAAGACTGGATGAGCAATGGACAAATCAAAGGGGCACTATTCAGTTTAGTGTCCTTACCTGGAGCTGGCGGATGCTCACCCCACAAGGGGTCAAGTTGAAGAAGCCGCAAGCCTGGAAAACTGTGAGGAGTAACTTTTTCGGAGTGAGAGTTGTGAACTCTTGGAACAATCTGCCAGAGAGTGTTGTACTTTTACTTTTTACTTTTATCCTCTTCGCCACTGATCGGCTTGTTAGCCGCTTGGGCGATCGGTCACGTCTCTTTTCCTTTATATTCTTCACCAAAAGGTCGGCTCGCTAGCCGCCCGGGCGATCGGTCACGTCTCTGTCACGCACTGTTGGCAAATACTGGGCATGCACCGGCTCCTGAATGTACCTGAACCCGCTCCAGTGTTGGTCAAGTCTTCTCTTGAAAGAGCTCACACTCGGTGCCGTCACAACACTCTCTGGTAGATTGTTCCAAGAGTTTACAACCCTCACTCCGAAAAAGTTTGCCCTCACGGTTTTCCGGACTTGCGGCTTCTTCAATCTTGAGCTGTGACCCCTTGTGGGGCGAGCGTCCGCCAGCTCCAAGTAAGGACACTCAACTGAGTAGTGCCCCCTGAGATGCTTATAAACCTCAACTAGGTCCCCCCTTGCCCGTCTGTAGTATAAGCTAGGCAAGTTCAGGCGCTCCAATCTCTCAGGGTAGCTGAGATGCCGAAGTGCAGGCACCAGTTTGGTGGCCCTCCTTTGAACATTTTCAACCAACTGACAGTCCCTAGCATATCTCGGGGACCAGATGGGGTGACAGTACTCCAGATGGGGAAGCACTTCACTCCTGAAGATCGTCACGAGGGACGGACCGTCTAGATATCTGAACGACCTTCTTATAAGACCCAATAATTTATTTGCCTGATTTACCTTCTTCTCACAATGGCCCGAGAACTTCAGCTCATTGTCAACATACACACCTAGGTCCTTCTCACACACAGTCTCAACTAGTACATTTTCTTCATCCCGTTGGGACATATGGTACGCCTCCTTACCGTTGGTACGCCCCAGGTGCATCCTCTTACACTTCGTGACATTGAATCTCAGCAGCCATTCCTTCGACCATTCCTGGAGCCCATAGAGGTCCTTCTGCAGCTCTTCACAGTCCGCTTGGTTCTTAATTTCCCGAAATAACTTGGCGTCATCGGCAAACATTTGTATGGAGGAGTGTACAACGTCAGGCATATCATTTATGAAACAAACAAACAACAGCGGGCCCAATACACTACCCTGCGGTACCCCACTTGTTACAGGCACAGATGACGATTTCGTGCCATTAATCACCACACATTGCTTGCGTTCATGTAGAAAGTCTTCTATCCACGCTAGGACATTTCCCCGAATTCCGTACCCTTCCAGTTTGATTTTTAGCCTTTCGTGGGGTACACTGTCGAAAGCCTTGGCAAAATCTAGGTAAATATTGTCGATATTACCACCCCGTTCTAGAATATGGGTCCAAATATCCAATACCTTGAGCAATTGTGTCAAGCAAGAGCGCCCCGGCATAAAACCGTGTTGGCAATCTTTTACAAGGTTGTTTCGTAGTAGATGTTCCATCGCTGCATCTCTGATAATACTCTCAAGTACTTTACATATTATGCTGGTCAGGCTCACCGGTCTATAGTTGTTCGTGGAGTGCCTATCGCCCTTCTTGAAGATAGGACTCACATAAGCCACTTTCCATTCACTGGGGACCATTTGTTCATCCAGGCATTTACAAAACAGAATCTTCAGGGGCTCTGCAAGCTCGTTGCACAGCTCCCTTAGCACTCTAGGATGCACCATGTCAGGTCCAGGACTCTTATGGACCTTTAGCCTGGACAGTTTATTTCTAATACCCTCTTCTGTGAACACAATGTGGGTCAGTGCTGTGTCGAACCGTCTGTCCTCAAACGCAGGAAGGTTAGTTGCATCCTCTCTTGTGAACACTGAGGAAAAGAAGCTGTTCAATGCCTCAGCTTTATCCTGGTCAGAATCTGCGTAACTACCATCTTCAAGCCTCAGGTCTGATACTCCTACTCGCGTTTTCAATTTCGACTTTGCATAGCGGTAAAACGCCTTTGGGTTTGACTTGACCTCGCGTGCAACCAGCCTTTGGAACTCCTTTTCAGCCCTCCTACACTCTATCTTTGCTTGGTTTCTGGCTCTTGCATACATCCTCCTGTCTTGCTCATCGTTTGACCCAACCCACGTCTTGAATTTCTGGGTTTTCTTCTTAATTTTGTCGACCGCCGCATGGTTCATGTGTAGGGATCCCCTCGTATTCCTAGAAGCACTGGGTTTGGTCTTGGGTATATATTTATCGATCAAATGGGTCATTTTACTAGTTATGATATTCAGCGTAGTGTCTGCGTTCTTGTACCTTAATAAGTCAGGCCAGTTGATACCCCTCATCTCTTCCCTCATCCCATTGTAATTTCCCTTGTAATATTTGCACCTTGGCCTGGCCTTATCTTGAACTAGGTAACAGTTAAATCTGAATGACAACACTGTATGGTGACTGGTGCCAACTGGGGCAAGGTGTTCCAGTTTGGCCACCATACCCTCCTCGTTTGTTATGATGAGGTCAAGTGGCTTGGGTGTTTGCTCCCCTCTGTAATGTGTCGGGTCTCTCACATGTTGGAACAGAAAATTATCTCTCAGAGTTTCTACAAAAAGAGTAGCAGGATTATTCAAGTCATTCGGGGTGGACTCGTTTCTCCAGTCGATGTCGCCATAGTTAAAGTCCCCCATGATAAGGAGGTGGCTGGGGTTGAGCATCGCCGCATTGTTTATTAAGGTTCTTAAGTTCCTTTGATTTAGTGGGCCACAGTTCGGGGATCTGTAGATACACCCGACGATAAGTAAGTCCCCTCCCTTTAATTTAATTTTACACCACTTGGACTCTTCAAAAACATCCTCTCCCTGTACCCTCGCCTGGCTGGCTCTAAGGTCTTGCCTAGCGTAGATAACCACACCCCTCCTGCAGGATTCTTGAGTTAGGTTCGTAAATGAGTCATATCCAGCAATACTGAACTCACATTCCTCTGGGTCGATTCTCCTGTTCTTGTACAACAGTTCTACAACTCCTACAATATCTGGTTGGTGTACTCTTAATAGTGTTTCAAACTCCCTCTTATCAAGGAACGTGTCGGTATTAGTGTACATGACATTCAAGCCAGAATTTGTTCTCGGTAACGTCTCTGCTCTTAGTAATAAACCCGCTCCACCCACATTCTCAGAAGCTGCAGCATTTGCTAAGTACACTGTATTTTGCAGGGTGTGGTTAAAAATGTCATTGTTTACACGGCGCTCGTTCCCTCCTGTCCGTTAGGCTGAGCTGGTGCCGCCTCCCGGGTGGGGGGTGCACTGCTGCCCCCTGGCCTTGTGAGCTCTTTCAAGACCAAACTTGACCAACACTGGAGCAGGTTCAGATAGATTCAGGAGCCGCTGCATGCCCAGTACTTGCCAACAATGCGTAATAGAGATGTGACTGATCGCCCAAATGGCTGACGAGCCAATCAGTGGTGAAGAGGATAAAGGTAAAAGTAAAAGATGAATATATAGTGGTTACTGTGTCGTAAAGCCATTAGCCCACTTGTTGAAATACCAGCTCATATTACACATAATGCTTGAGAAGGCTCTTAGATAAACTAAATAAGTAGACAAGCTTCAATTTTAAAACATTTACAGTGTTTTTAATACATTACACTGAACATATTCCTTTATCAAGTGCAAAATGTTCATTGCAGTAGTCCCTCGCCAACCACAGAGATTAGGTTCCTAAAAAACCCTGTGGTTGGCAAATCTGCAGTTTGGCAAGACTAAAGGTTTATGAGAAATAGGGTGTTAGGTTTTATGTCCGCACATAACACTCGTCAAAGCCTAAGTTGCCTGTTCCTTCACTAAACAATACCTGAATTGTACATTTAATTAAATTTGACTCGCCCCATAAGGGGTCACAGCTCAAAATTGAAGAAGCTGCAAGTCCAGAAAACTGTGAGGGCAAACTTTTTCGGAGTGTGGGTTGTAAACTCTTGGAACAATCTACCAGAGAGTGTTGTGACGGCACCGAGTGTGAGCTCTTTCAAGACAAGAACTTGACCAACACTGGAGCGGGTTCAGGTACATTCAGGAGCCGGTGCATGCCCAGTACTTGCCAACAGTGCGTGACCGATCGCCCGAGCGGCTAGCGAGCCGATCTTTTGGTGAAGAGGATAAAAGAAAAGGAAAAGTACTGTGATCAGAGGCGTGACCGATCGCCCAAGTGGCTAACGAGCCGATCAGTGGTGAAGAGGATAAAAGTAAAAGTAAAAAGTGAATCAAATATATAAATAAAATAGCTTGATATGAATTAAATAGCAATATAAATTTTGCAATACATCTCTGTGGAGATAGCATGTTGCTATAAAATAAGAGAAATGAAGAGCATGGGTGTTTACTATGTGAAGTGAACGTGTGTGTGGACTTGTCAGGTGATCAAGCTGATGACTAGCGAAGAGGATAAATGTAAAAGAAAAAAATAGAAGTAAGACAGCAAATTTATTGAGACCATTATGACATGACTCTTACAGTAATGTACTTGTACTATATACAGTCAACTCTCGCTTTACGCGGTCCCACATTCCGCGTTTCCACGTTTACGCGGTACCCTGCCGAAACCGGAATGCTCACATTCCGCGGTGTGTGTACCCCTTTACGCGGAGAGCGGCGCGAGCAGGGTGCGCACAAGGTCGCCCAGTCATCAAAACATTACCGAGTTCTTCACCCGCCACCCACCACAGCCGGCCCAAGTCAGTGATAGTGATAATGATAGTGAGGATATGGACTTATATGGACTTTGAGGGGTTTGACAAAGAGGCCCTGCAAGCCTCTGTGGTGGATAGTGATACAATTGATACAAGTGATACAGGTGAGGGCCAATAATCTGCCCTCTGCCTCGGAACCAACCCCCCATCCCCGTGTGCCCAGCCATCTTTTCTACTAATGTAAGTGTTAAAAAACCTAATATTATTGATATTTCTCTTAATTATTAATTGTGTGTGCATACCATCATAAAATTAAGAAGTTATTTTTACTACAATGTAGGTATTGTGTCTGAAAAAGTGGAGTTTGGGGGTCGGCCTGGTCTCTATTTCAATTAATCCCATATGTTATGTTGTTCACTTTACGCGTTTCTCACTTTATGCGGGCCGCCTTGGGTTGAATTAACCGCGTAAAGTGAGGGTTCACTGTATATTGAAATGATCTTGTACTTTGTATTTATTATTAAAGTTACTGAAGCTGAATCTTATATCAATAGCTGACACCAACTTACAGTACTGTACAGTGGTCCCTCGGTTAACGAGCACAATCCGTTCTAGAAGGTTGCTCGTTAACCGAAAAACTCGTTAACCGAAAAACTCGTTAACCGAAACCATTGTTTCAATTGGTTTTTGGGTAATTGGTTCCAGCTCACCGAAAATTGCCTAAATTCAACAAAAAAGGTAAAAAAGTACACTTACTTTGAGGTGTGTATGTAGAAGGCTCCTGGATGATGATGATGATGATGATGATGATTGGAATTAGAATGGGGGTGGAGGAGAAGGGAGAAGAGAAGGCATTGGGGTGGAAGAGAAGTCACCCCATGGCACCATTTCACCTATAAAATTTTAGTTCTCTTGGTGTAATTCAAGATTATTTTCTTTAAATCAACACTGCACTGCATTATATATTGTCAATATGTGAAATATATTTCAAAATGACCAATAATTTGCTTGTAAACACAGAAAAAAGCATTTAGTTGAAGAGAGTCTCAAGCAAGATGTTACCTCCACTGAAAAGACACATAGACTGACGCCTGTATGCTGTGTTGGCAGGCTGGATGGCGTGCCACAAACTAGTGACCCTACCTTCAATTATGTTCAATAATTGTTAAAATGACTAAAAAATTTAATATTAAACTTTTAAAATTATTGAATAGTATAAACTTCTTGATATTTACTAAAAGGGTAAGGAAATAAAGCTCTAGAACCGATTACTGTATTGGCGGACTAATACTACAGCTGGTGGACCGCCAAATGCAAGCGAAAAACATGTGGAGGTCGGCTCGTAAGAAACTCGTTAATCGAGGGATTGCTCGTTAACCGAAGTTAAGAATCTTATGGAAGGTAGCTCGTTAACCGAAATCTCGTTAACTGAAGCGCTCGTTAACCGAGGGACCACGGTACTTATAATTTTAATAAAACCTCCAAATAATGAGTTTGAAATATTAACATGTGTAATCAGTCATATAACTTTTTTTTCAAACTGCACTCAAATATTTGCAGACTTACACTGTGGACAAGCAGGTACCTGACAGTGCTGCCACAGCCACAGCATATCTGACAGGAGTGAAGGCCAACTACTATACTCTGGGGGTCAATGCCAATGTCAAACTGAACGATTGTCATTCCTCGCTTAAACCAGAAAATAGATTGAAGTCCATCCTAGAGTGGGCTCAGGATGCAAACAAGGAGACTGGTGAGTGTTAAGAGTGAATGTCACTGCTCAGGTACTGGCCTCTTCATGCCCTGTTAGTCATACTTATATTATTTTTTGTCCTAAGTCAAAGGGAAGTCATATTTGTTTATCCTTGTCTGCTCATCCTGTCCATCCATCTTGGTCTTGTGAACATTTTAAGGCTGAAAGAATGGATGTTTACCAGACCTTAAAATAGGTACTGTAATGTACACTATAGAAAGTTTTTGAGTGTTACTGACTTTAGACTGTCACGAGTTAAAAGTTAAAATTCAAAGAATAATCATCCTTTTAAGTGGATTGAGACTGAACATGTTGGAATAAACAATCGTCCTTCAGAGTTTCTACAGGAGGATTATGGGGCTGTTGAGGTTGTTATCCTTAAACTGTACAGTAGATAAAATTGCCCATTACCAGAAGTTAGAGCTCATTGTTTAATTTCATGGTTCAGAAAACTGCAACAGTAATCTGATTATTCATCCAACATCGAAACTGTCACATCCCATCATTGTAATTTTACACCATTTTGGCACTTAAAAATCTTCCTCATGTACAGTACTCTAACTTGATCGACAGGCTCGAAGTCTTTCTAGAATAGATAACCACTTTTATTATAAGACTCAGAAAAGTTTGCAAATGAGTTATAGCCTTCAACATTAAACTCCTATTTATCTGGATTAATCCTTCTATACAGTATTTATACAGTATAAGAAATCCATAACACTTGTATCAAACTGATATGCCTAAAGTAGTGTTCATGTTTGTTTGCATAACTTTTAAATCAGTCTTAGTATGTGGCAATGGTTCTGAACCTTTTTATTAATCTGAACTTGTTACCTTATCAGCAGCCATACGATGTACTCTATCCATATTATTATTTGGGGGTGTAGTCAGTTATAGGTGTGTTTATTCTAGTTTTTCTTCAAAATTTATTACAATTACTTATTATATTAATAATAATTATGGTGAAACAAAGAAGTATTTAATATTGTTGTGTTGGTTACAGGTGTAGTGACAACAGTTCAGGTCACCCATGCGACCCCCGCCGGTCTATATGCCAAAACTTCTCAGCGTAGGTGGCAGTGTGACACCAAGATCATCACAGCGGGACCAGATGCTCTTAAATGCAAGGACATTGCTCGCCAGCTTGTTGAGGATGAACCTGCCAGGAAATTAAAGGTTTTTGATTTGCTCTAACTGCTACAGTACCACACTTAGAATTTATGAACAATTGGATGATAAAAGTAGTGTGTTAGGTGTTGTTTGAACTTGGTTCAGTAACTTCAAAATTGTATTCATAATATACTGTACTGTACTTATTATTTATGATGTTTTCAACACACCACTAAAGATGATTTTTGTTGGTACTGAGGTTGACCTTAGACCTTTTGTTACTTTCTGTACTGAAAATTTGCAAGATGAATTTCGATTGTGTAAGTGAAAGTTATCCTGTGGCAGTATATGCTGAATCCGTTACAGGCACAAAATATTACTAGAAATAAGCAAATGAAACTTGAATGGAAAGAATAGAGATTATTTGTTCATTTTCCACTCACAATATTGGTGAGTAAGTAAATTGTCCTTCATATAAATACAGTAAGATCTCATATTTCGCGCAATTTCATTTTGCGTTTTTGAATTTCGCGAGCACTACCTAATGTAACCAAGTCTTACATATGGCATAAAATATCGTGAATTTCGCGAGATCCAGCCAGCTGAATGCTGGCCACCGTCTTGAATGGCATCACAGCCCTCATACCAGTTACAGTCGTATCTGCTACAACGTGAGTTTTGTCAACGTGATTGGTTGTAACGCAGTTGATGAATAGGGGAACGCTGTTTGTAAAACACGAACTTTTTCATATGAATGTTGGCTATAGCGCGATTGTATCCTCAATGTTTTGATTCCATAATGTTTTAAGCATGGCGCGGGGTTATGCAGTGTTTACAGTTCACGTTCGACATCACATGTTCAATTGATGCATGTCTTTTGTTTGTGAAGTGTTTTTTTTGAGAGGTACCGTACTGTACTCTGTAAATTTTTTTTTTTTTGCAAATTTAACTGTTACCCATAAATACTGTATGAAAAGAATAAGTAAAAAGAATGTTTCGCAGCAAGGACTAATAACTGTTTACACCAGCGCTCTCTGTTTACATCACGTGATCAGTTGAATCGAGCGGTTTCTGTCGATTGCCCCGTGATTTTCACTGTTTTCTCCAATTTTGTTGTGTTAGCGATGAAAATGGAAAGACAAGGTAAGAAGAATGTTTCCAAGAAGCGTTCTGGTGATCGAATTGCCGGTGGTGAACGTAAAAGAGGTTTACAAGAACGCAACTATCGCGTTGTAGCCCGGGCTGCTATTGTGTGCTCTTTTGTGTGGTGTTACCGCCTGTCGAGTCAAGATAATAGCCTCTACCTGTACTGGGGGTCCTACTGATGCTGGTGGGGTTGAGACAGACCCATCTCAGCGGCCAAATAAGGAAGAGGAGAAGCGGGACTATCATAAGGGAGTTAAGTTTGCCAAGTACTCGATGCAGGATAAGCAGCGTGTGATTAAGTTACTCGAGGAAGGCCTAAAAACTAGTTTCTGGAAAGCACAATCAGGTCAATAAAGGCAGAATTTGTATCACTTGGAGTTTATAAATGGGAAAATCAGAGGATGTAGAGTGGCCAGTGTATATTGTTATTTTTCCCATTAGTTTATGTATTTGCGTTTGGCGAATTTGAATTTGGCGCAATTTTTCCAGTCTTATATTACTTGCGAAATACAAGATCTTACTGTATATAGCATTGCAATTTTAGTAAGACCTCTGTATATACGGGTAACAAATTGCACCAGATAACACAGTGCAGATAAGCAAGGATGGAAGATATTGTATGGAAGTAAATTATTGTATGGTGCAGCTGGCCACATATGGTAATTACTATTCATCACCTCATAGGAGACTCTGTACATGTGGCAACCCTATAGAATCAAAGTAGCTGAACTTGGGTTATGGCAATGACTTTATATTTTATTGTTCTTTAGATATTATGTGTGTGTTATAATAATGTTGTAGGGCTCTGTGCCCCCCTTCCCATCATCACTCATGTGCATGCCCAGTATCTGCCAACAGTGTGTAACAGAGACATGACCGACTGCCCAAGCGGCTAAGGAGCCAATCAGTGGTGAAGAGGATAAGCATAAAAGTAATCACACCCCAGTTGGAGTACCTTGACTATGACTGCTGTGTTGCCACATGTACTGAGCTGCCTGTCAAATAAGAAATGTTGCATATGTGGGTAACTGTAAAATGCAGAATAGAAAACAATTATGGGAGCTTTACATGAAAACTTGTGTTTAGCTCTTATAATGAAAGAAACAGTTTAGATTAAAACACTATTCTTCCACTGAAAACCCTCAGTTGATACCACTCTCCTATTGCATTGTATCACAGTTATAAGGAAGGAAATAATTATTAACTTCTGTTTCCAGGTGATCATGGGTGGAGGTCGACAGGAGATGGGGAATCCACTGGAAGATGATGCCAAGAAGATTTGTATAAGAACTGATGGCAGAAACCTTGTGAAGGAGTGGCAGAATGACAAGGATGCCCAGGGCAAGTCCAATGCTTATGTCACTACAACCAAGGAACTGCGCTCAGTTGATATTGATGACACTGAATACCTTATAGGTGAGTTGAGGTTCGGTGGGGAAGATTACCAGGTATGCTTGTACTGGACCTAATGTGAGTCGAGGACATGGATGACAATGTAGCTGTAACCTGTTCAGTCTAAGTTGGAGCACCATATAGGAGAATAAATTCATAGTTACAGTATTTGTACTATAGTGCGTTTCTTCTCAGCTGAGAAAAGATGCCCCGCCCCCTCCTCAAGAGTTACAGCTGATTGGCTGTTGCAAATCTGTTTGATTTCTTCCTGAAGTATTGATGTATTTCTAAAGGAGTTTATTCATAATCATTGGGATGACCGTTTCTGACGAGAAAGATATTTAGCTAAATTATAAAAAGATACATACCTTCATTATTTCAAACAGGAGCATGTACAGTAGGAAATTTTATCAGAAATCTTTTACATGAATTAACTGTTAAACTCTGATAACAAATTCATGCCTTCGGAGGATGCATTTAATATATACTTTTTTTTACCCACAATAAGGCATACTAAGACAAATTATGTATCCGTGAAACTAAATTATGCAAAAACTAACATTTAAAAGATCAGAATCACACTGAAATATTACACGGTCCCTGAAAATTGGTGGACAAGTGTGACAGACTTGGCCGCTTGAGTGAACAGCCGTTGGTCGAGGCGGGAAATACAACTGAACAACTTCATATTTCAGTGATTCTGAACTTTTAAAATGTTAGTTTTTTCATACTGTAGTTTTACTGATACGTAATTTGTGTGTGTGGGCTGTTTCAATACCACACTTGACCAATACTGGAGCAGGTTCAAATACATTCAGGAGCCATTGCTTGCCAACAGTGCATAGCAGAGGTGTAACCAACTGCTCATAATTTGTAATGTTTTCCTGTTAGGAACTAAATTTTAAAATTCTGAAGTATGATAGACATTTCAAAATATTAAAATATATACAGCTGTATATTACAATTTTCATAATATTTGGTTAATTATCGAACTATGGGACATCTTGTACAAAAATGTATGACTCGCATGTCACCATAGGATGTGACCGCCCGCCTCAGTGTAAAAAAGTATATGTGTGTGTCAGACTTGTCAGTCAGTTCATGTTAATTGTGGAGTGCATGTCTACGGTCTACTGCAAAAACTTCTTTCGATTGCTTTTTCATCATTGCTCAATATTTGAGTCTTTATGTCTGATAACCCTAAATCTGGTACTGTACCTAGAAATGTTTAAATTTTGATTGTGGAAGATCACAGAAGAGTACTGTATTGTTGTTTTGTTTGATTCCTTCGGGAGAAGGTTTCCCTCATAATTCATAAAATCTCGTAATTTGTAAGGGTTAAAGCCCCTATTATTTTGAATTGTGAAGTTTTTACTATACAATATAATGTACTGTTATCCTGATTAGCAAGTGTAATATTTGTGTGATCCTTGCAGGCTTATTTAGTGACATTCACATGCCATATGAGGTGGACAGGGACACAGGCCTGGACGGTACACCATCCTTGAAGGAGATGGTTGAGGTAGCACTTAAGCGACTCAAGAGAAATGATGATGGATTTTTCCTTCTGGTAAGTTAAAATGTACCTGCACACACACATACACATACTGTACATACATACTGTACATATTAAAGAAGTTCACTTTGTATTCTTACACAGATAATATTAATTAAAAAGTGTTTGTTTAACCCTTAAGCCCCGGGTTAGGGTGCTGCTGGCAGTACCCCTTCCCCCCCCTGCAGGGATAAATCGAGAAAAAATCAACTTTTCCAATAATAATTTAAAAAAAATATATAATAATAATAAATACAGTAGTACCTGATTTACGCGGTCAATTGAACCCACAGGGTACCGCGGAAAGTGAAAACCGCGTAAAGTGAACAACAGAACATATGGGATTAATACCAATAGAGACTGGCCCAACCCCCAAACTCCACTTTTTCAGACACAATACCTATATTGTAGTAAAAATAACATCTTAATTTTATGATGGTATGCTCACACAATTAATATTTATGAGAAATACAGTTGCCAGGTTAATGTCCATTCAAATAATGGACTCAGATCCCCCCCCCCTCTTCCCAGCTAACTAGCTCCTACCTCTCTGAGAAATGTTTGGGTGAAAACACTAGATTTTAACTTTTAGTAATAAATAATACCTCAGACTAAAGTTAGGGTAATATAATTGACATTTCTGGATTCCTTGCAGGTCAGGGAATATTTTGGATGTAAACTTCATATATTTTGCACAAAAGATAAAATATTTGCTTTGTGTAAACCAAATTATTACATTAGATCTAAAGTTTGTATATCTAATGCAAAATCCATGATGTTTATATTCAAAATGATCATCATATTGTAAGAATTCCAGCAATGTAAATTATATTCTGGCCAGGTAATTTGTATGAATTTTATGAGCTAAATAAAAAAAAAAAATTATACTTCACCGCGTATATGAGTAGATGCACCGCGGAAAGTGAAAGTCCGGTTCTGGCAAGGTACCGCATAAATGAGAAATCGATCGTGGAAAGTGAAACCTAAACGTAAATGAGAAATCGATCGCGGAAAGTGAAACTTAAACCGTGTAAAGCATGTAAAGCAGGGTAATACTGTAAATAAAAAATGGCGGGAAAATAGGCGGACGTTCTGGAATATCTTCTGGGGCCTGAGGGTTAAGAACCCCACTGAAGTCCAGTAAAATAAAACATCAGCAAAGGAAATAGAATCATGCAAACACCTTGTAATGGAGATGTATCATTAACAATAGTTCTTATAAGAGATCAGTTTTTAAATGCAGTGTACAGTGCTATATTATTTATTAAAATTGTTCAATATAATATTTGTAAGAAAATTTATAGTGCCACCTTGTTCAAAACATTTCAAAATAGTAATAAAAGATGAAAGAACTTAATGACTCAAACCCACGTGTTTCATACTTTGTCTTAAGACATACCAAAAAGAACTGAGTGAAGAATTGGATACCGTAGCAGTAAGGGTATCATATTGGGTCCATTAATCCTGGATTTAAATCTTCATTGAGGTAGCAATGTGTGATTTATATTAGGTGTGAGCCAGTACCATTACTAACCATATCCCCACAAACTTATTGTAAACCCAATTGGCTAACAAATATACATACTGTACATACCTTAGAGGCAGATAAACTTATCCTTGTCTTTGATGTGATGCCAAGCCTATGTGACAGATGTCCCAGGTTGATTCATAATTCCCATTGTGTCCTAGGCAAGCCTAGTTTAAGTGTAAGTTGCATTGTCCGGCCACAGCTTCATGTGTACATTGCACTTTTCTTTATTATGTCATAAAGTGAAAAAATTAATAATTTCTGATAATTCAGTTAGTACAAATTTTCGATACAGGTAATATGGTGCAGAGAATTTTGAACAAAATCTTTATATAAGGCTACTGTACTAATTTCAGCTGAAGAAAATGAAAATATATAGTTTATCAGTTTATGCTATTTATTCTGTACTGTGTTTGGTAAACTTTTATGATAATTATAATATCTCCATACATCTTTAATTTTTTGCATTTACATTGGATCATACAGTACCTGGAATCTTTCTTGAAGTGGTGATACATGTGATAATAAACTTCATATAAAGTAACTATGAGATGATTTGTGGAACCTCAGGTATTCCAAGGTTTCGGTAAGGGATTGATTTAAGTACTGTACTCTAAAGGGTCAGCACTTCCCCTAAGGGAATCTTGGGACATGTTCCTTCAGTATTTCTGGAAAATCTAAATTTCTACACCTCTCTCATGCAGCACAATATATTTTTTTGCTTGAAAATGAATACAGTATTTACAATGTGCTGCTTATTTTTGTTCATATGTTGTGTGGCCATTTCCTTTGTTGATAACAATAATTAAACAGGTGGAAGGAGGAAGGATAGACCACGGCCTACATTGGGGTCAGCCACGCCGAGCCCTGGAGGAGTTGCTGGCCATGGAAGAGGCAGTGGAGGCTGCACTTAAGATGGTAGATTTGGAGGAGACACTGGTTATAGTCACTGCTGACCACTCTCATGTGATGACTATAAATGGTTATCCTGAAAGAGGCAACAACATCCTGGGTATGATAGTACTTACATGTACAGTCCTATTTAACAGTTATTTAATTTTGTAACTTGTAAATCATATTTAGTATACTGTACTGTACAGTAAAGCCTCGAATAAAGACGTTAATGTGACCTCCAATATTGCAGTGTAAGGTGAATCGTCTTATCGCGAATCATTAATTACCATTAAAATAAAGCAATAATAATGAGATGCGTTCCCGAGCATGACCTTTTCATATCTTTTGTGTGGCTTTTTTACCCTCTTTTCCCCCCAAAACAATACAATTACAGTACGGTAATGGAAATTGCAAACTATATTCTTTAAATAATGTTTCTGAATGCTCCTTATACAATATAAATGAATAATAATATGGTCACACAAGAGGAGATGGGATGCCATTTTTTCGTTTGCGTTTACAGCCGGGAGTCCGGGACATTCTACACGAGAAAATGAAGAAAATAAGACCCTGGTTCTAGCTGTAGTAAATTTAATTTAAAAAAATGAATATACTGTATATGTTTTAATTAACGTTATTTAATGTTCATAAATGGAACAATCGAAGTAGCTAACCACTAATGGCAAAGAAAAAAACGATGGATTGGGAACGTCAACATATACATGTGCATTTAAGGATACCGCGTCATTTATCTTGAGAATATGTACAAAAGATTCATTATTGTTTATTACTGAATATGTATTTGTTTGAATTAATCTTTATACAGTATATGCGAAATGACCAATACAATTCATTAATACGTAGAATATTAAAACACAAGAGGATAAGAGACAACATTGTTGTCAGTGTTTACACCCAATGCATATGTGTGCACTCAAGGAAACATAGTCATTTATCTTAAAAATATGCACTACAGAAGATTCATTATTGTTTATTACTGAATATGTATTTGGTTGAATTAATGTTTATATATGTGAAATGAACAATGCAATTCATTAATAATATGTAGAATATTAAAACACACAAGAGGAGACAAGACGGCATTGTTTTCGTGAGTGACGATGTTTCTACATAAGAAACTGAAGAAAATAAGACCCTGGTTGTAGCTGTAGTGAACTTAATGTAAAAAAATTGAATACAGTACCTGTATGTTTGTTTTAAGTAATGTTATTTAATGTTAATAAATGGAACAATAGAAGTAGGTAACCACTAATGGTAAAGAAATAAGGCGAGACGATTGGGAACACCAACATATGAGCAGTAAGTGCATACATGTGAAAACATATCGTCATTTCTCTACATATGAATATGAAAGCAACACTTATTTACTGTTCATATATGTTTTAAATAATATTTACGAATGTAAATTTAAAATTCTATTCACCAGCGATGGTAAAGTCTAAACATAAGGACAGCTAATGAATATTGTGCGAGTTTTTACTCAGATGACGAAGTCATCAGTTCAACTCTGGCTGAAGCTGTAGGTTCAACTCTGGCTGATGCTGTAGCTTTCCATAAAGCTGTTGCTGAAACTGTTACTGAACCTGAAACTGATGTTGAAGCTGCTTATGATGCTGAATTTGATGGTGTAGCTTAAGTTGATGGTTTAGGCCTTCGAATAATAAAGCTGTCGAAAGAACCTTGCACAGCTGCTTTCTTTTCTCATTATACATCTTTATGTAGAGGTCATTTGTGTTTATTTAAATTTTAATACTTTGTTCTGTTAATGGATCCACTTCAGAAAATATGTTCATTGCTTGCTCCATATAATATCCACAGACCTTTCACCTTTTTTATATCGTTTTAACACAACTAGTTTCTCGGCTAAGCTTAGACACTTTCTATTAGTTTTTGAACCAACACTACCATCACTTGCTCTCTTGCTCATGTTTAATAGGGATGCATAAATGCTGTAAGAAACCTGAGAAAGTTTTTCTCCAGTTCCTGTTCCAGATGCGTGAAAACAAAAGGCCCGCCAAGCTCCGACTGTTGTTTACCACTCATTAGCAAGGCAGCTTCTTTGCGCAAGGCGCTCTTCATTTTTTTCCAGTAATTTTTTTGTAATAAACATCGGAATTAGTTATTATTTATATGAAAATGTAATTTTATTATATTTTTATTATATTTTGGTCGTAAATACGAATGAAATAAGGACGTAAATTGAATTGGGTCCTAAATTAACTAGGGTTTTAAATATGAAAAGTTGTTGGTCGAACCGTTGTTATCGGAGGCTTTACTGTATACAGTATATTACATCTAAATAAAAAAGAACAAATATTCAGACTTGCATGCACATGGATTTTCATAACTGCTCATATTTATACAGTTTACAGTAGATAAACGGCGAAACGCAGTCCGGGTAACCGGTGGATTCAACTAACCAGCACCAAAATGAAATAATAATAATTTTTTTTTCCAGAATCGGCTAGAATTGTAATTTGAATACTATGCGCAGCGAGGATGAGCTGCCATATTTGTTTGTATGATAAACAATAAAATTGATACCTAGAGTATCATAAAATATAATACAGTAGCACATACTTTATGTAAAAAAATAGCTCCTTCCACACTCAATCCACCCACTTCGGCCAGGCAGTCAACCTACAGACTCAGACATGTGGTTGCTGCTCTGTGTGTATGCCATGATGTCACATTAAGAGGGAGTGTGGCCATGCAGTTATAGCCCACCACCACACATATACAGTACACACCCATGCTCTTCATATTTTCTTATTTTAGAGTTTTATATTTTCTTTATTTCTAAGCCACATCATTTATATAGAGTGGAATAAGTGTTAAAGAAGTCTGTTTTTCTGAGACATGAATTTGCAAGGTCAGCCTGTAGCACTGCAATGTAGGATTTATTGGGGGGATCATAAGAGTTTATGTACATTCTAAGTAATGCAATATTAATGCTTCTCAAGGTGTGACGATTAATGAAGATGATGTGTCGGATCATCTACCCTATACTACCCTTATGTTCACCAATGGCCATGGCTACAACTACTCGTGGGATGGCGAACATGTGAGTATAGTTTCTGTACCGAGACTAAGAAAATGGTACAGTATATGGTTTGGGCCTATCAGGTAATTAACGGTAAAGGTGAAACCATTTACAGTAGAAGGACTGGGTAAAACATTTATCAAACCCAAGTCTCCTGTATTGGAAAACCAGCAGCTGGGTCCATTAATACTGTACAGGTGCTCCTCTACTTAAGAACGTTCAACCTACAAACATCATCACTGAGGAGGGTTACCTGCCAGAACAGGTGTTTAATGTGGATGAGACTGGATTATTTTGAAGAAAATTCCATATAGAACAAACATTACCTAAGAGGAGAAGAGTGAGCCAGGTTTTAAGGCTGTATTAAAGGGTATAGCTGTATTCCATATCCATAATATTTTCATTTTTTACAATATGTTTGGTATCTACAAGAGTAAAGTTGGACTTACAAACAATTGGACTTACAAACAAGCCTCAGGAACGTAACTCGTTCATAAGTAGAGGAGCACCTGTACAGTATACATTTTGCTTCTTGTGTTTGCTTTCTATGCTAGGTAGCTAATTGTAGTACATATTCTAATTTGAGGGATCCAGGGATCTACCTTTTTAAAGGTAAAATGCTTAAAGCTCTCAGCTCAACAGTGCAGATTTTTTGGAGGGATTATCTGCAGGTGGTTTGTTCTATATTATAATTTTCTTACTTTATCACCATCACCACTTTTGGGGTTACTATCCAGTTGGGGCATCAGTCAGTTATGTTATACACTGTTGACAAGTATTATGGGCATACATGTTTTTTTTAAATTATAAAGTAAGGTCCTGCTTAATGGGTATATGCATTCCTGAAAATGTGGTCATTAGGTGAATTCTTGTTCAGTGGGACCCATTTTTCCATGTGATGCCTTGTTAAAAACAGATGTGTTTCAGCCCAAAATCTTTTACCCGAAACCCATAGACTTAGATCCACTCCATCCTAAAGAATTTCGACCCTAAAACCTAACAATATTAAATATTGTTTAGTATACAGTACACAGTACTGTACTTACCAGAGCTGAAAATGAATGCTGCTTGTGTTGACCTTGCATTGTTAGTGGGTGGAGGAGACAGAGGTATCTTCTTGTCTCTTCATCTGAGGAATCAACAAGTTGTTGATTGTATGCACTGTTGATGACACTAACCCCAGGGCTCTGTAAATATCAGACTTTTTCATCAGAGTTCAGATGCTGTAGTACATCCAATTTCATTTTCATCCTTGGAGTGGCACTGATCATAATGCCAGCTATCATCTTTGGATTCATCATTGTTGGGTAGATTTAAAAAAAGAAAAGAAAAAGAGAAAAGTACAAAGAAAGGTAATATACACTCGCTAGAAAAATATTCTGCACCCTTGGCTCTGAAACGACAGAAGCCATGATCAGTGTTATCAGATCTCTTATTCCGGTGTGTCATATTATATGACCCCATAAAGGTGCAGAATAATCTTTTTGTGAGTGTACAATGAGGTAGATAAGATGATTGTCAACAGACATCGTTAAAACAAATACCCAGTATTAGCGCATTCAGTGAATTTTCATACCCAAAACACTACTTATTAAACCAAATTTTTATTCATCATTTACGCATTCAGCAGGACCTCCCTGTACCCGAGCTTGCTCCAATGCTCAGGCCTGGATGTAAAGGAGCTCACACCTAATGCCATTACAGAATTCTCTGGCAGAATATTCTACTGTACTTGTTTGCAGCTCTATAGCCAAAGACATTTGCTTTGACAGTTTTCTGTACTGACAGATTCATTAATTTGAAGTTGTGACTTTAGTAGAGTGGTCATCTATTATTTCCTTGATATATGAAATAGTTGCCTTGGTGGAGCTTCATTTTACTCTATCCCTTTTGTCACTGATCAGCCTGTTAGGTCACATCTCTGTTCAGCACTGTTGCAATTACTGGGGATGCCCTGGCTGCAGAATGTATATGTACCTGTGCCAGTGTTGCTCAAGTCTGGTCTTGAATGAACTCGCATTCAGCGCTGTCACAACACTCTGGCCGGTTATTCAAAGAGTTTGCAAGTTTCGCTCTAAAAGTTTGCCCTGACTATTGTCTGAACTCGTGGCTTCTACAACCTTAAGCTGTGACCTATAGTGGGGCAGGCATCTGCTAGTTCCAGGTATGAACATTTGAGTGAGTAATGTCCTCAGGGACTTATATTGATCACCCTTTGCCTGCCTATAGTCCAGGCATTCTAATCTGTGAGTAACTGAGATGCTGTAGTGCAGGCACCAGTTTGGTGGCCTTCCCCTGGACATTTTCAATCAACTGACAGTTTCTAGCATATCTCAGGGACCAGACAGGGTAACAGTACTGCAAACGGAGAAGCACCTCACTTTTAAAGAGTATTATAAGGGACAGATTGTCTAAGTATGTGAATGCCCTTTTTATAAGATTTGCATCCACCTCAGACTACACATAATATGGAAAATTTACTTGCCTGGATTTTTTGGAGGCAAAGTTAATACACAAAACAAAAACATTTCTACCATTCAAATTTATTGAGTGTATCAACTCACAGATCACTTGTGCCCGTCTAAAAGGTGTCAGTAGCGGTAACCCTTGTTAAGTGATGTTATAACTCCTGTCACCTTACCTCACACCTGCTGGGTGTGAATACTTACATTAACTACCCATCCCCCCCAATAATCTGGTGTCACTGGCAGTAACATTTGTCATATGAGGTCATAACTCCTGTTGCCTCTCGGCTTGGTTGGTTCCTTTGAAATGTTGACAACTTGACACCGACTGACTAGCTGTTGCTATAATGTACAGTAGAGATAAATTACCTTCACCTGACATAGGTAACTAATCCTGGTACAGTACACTGTTGACAGCAGCCCTTTGATGGATCTCCCTGGTCGACTGTGCAGATTATGTGGTGCAGAAACAGTACTTGTCCCGGACAAGTGACTTTTTTAATACTGTATACTTGCTCGGATATTTTTTTACTGCCATTACAGATTTTTGGAGGAAATTTGCATGCCTGAATGTCTTTCTGGGAAAAGTTAAATAATCTCTTAAAACTTCAAATTTATTGTGTTTATCACAGATCACTTGTGTATGTCTAAAGGCCTTTTACCTTTACCCTTCTCTATCCAGTGGACAACTACAGCTTCCAGCTGGTGTCAATGACTGTAATCTTTGTCATTTAATATCATAACTCCTGTCACCTCACCTCACACCTACAGGGTGTGTAGGGAGGCAGAGGCATCACCTGTTATCACCTACCCTGACTACCATTCCACCTATAATCTGGTGTCAGTAACACTTGTCATGTGAGGTCATAACTCTTGTCGCCTCATGTCTACAGCCACTCACCGACTGACTAAAGGCGGGTTGACGGCTTAATGTAGAGATAAATTACCTGCACTTGATGTGGGACACTAATCCTGGTTAAACATATATCGGGGAGGTGGGCTGACACAACACCTGACAAATTCTTGTCTAGGTATTTACCTCAAAACATTAGTTTGTATGCTAGGCATATGGACATGAAAAATCACTTGCCTATCCCCTAGTCCAGGCATTGCTAATCCACACAGCCTGTACCACCACCCAGAGCCATAGATCTCTATCTATGGTTCTGACGTCACCCCCACCTCTTCTTCCTCCTACCACCACCTCTCCTTCCCCAACCACCACTACCAGCTTCTCCTCCTACCACCACCACCTTCTGCCACCACTACCACCTTCTGCCATCACCACAACCTTAAACCACAATTATGCCCCTGTACTATTATGGTTGATATTTCCACATCTCATTATCCATGTCCTTTGTTGGTACAGGTTGTACCTCTCTAGTCCGGCATTCTGTGGTCCGGAAACTCCCGTGGTCCGGAACGATTTTAGTTTGTCCAACAGGTAGATAGGCAGCTTTTTTTTTTTTTATTTTTTTTATTTTTTACTTATTTTAATTATTATTATTATTACAGGAGTATTAAATTTTTGCCCCTCAGGCCCCTCGTGGGTCAGTGACTTATGCCCGGGTGGGCTAATCCCCTTAAAAAAAAAAAGCCGCGGGAAATTAAGGTTTGTTTACATCCGGCAGTTCGGCTGCTCTCTCTCTCTCTCTCTCTCTGCTTGTCTATACAGAGTACAACATTTAACCCTTCAATATATATGAGCAGTAAATAAGTGTTGCTTTCATATTCTTATGTAGAGTAATGACGATATGTTTTCACATGTGCGCACTTACATACGCGCAGTCTCACTTTTTTTTTTACCATTAATGGTTAGCTACTTATATTGTTCCATTTATTAACATTAAATAACATTACAGGTACTTCAAACAACCATATTAATTTTTTTACATTAATTTTACTGCAGCTAAAATCAGGGTCTTATTTTCTTCAGTTTTATATGTAGAACCAATCAGTCACTGGTTTTGTAAGCTTTAACATAAACAATGCCGGCAGCCGTCTCGTCTCCTCTAATATTCCACGTATTATTAATAAATTGTATTGTTAATTTTGCACACACAAACATTAATTCAATAAAAAGAAATTCAGAAACATAAATTAAAATATATATGAACAGTAAATAAGTGTTGCTTTCATATTCTTATGTAAAGTAATGACGATATGTTTTCACGTGTTCGCATGCCCACTTACATACGCGATCTCTTTTTTCTTTACCATTATCGTTAGCTACTTCTATTGTTCCATTTATTTCCATTTATTAACATTAAATAACATTACTTAAAACAACCATATTAATTTTACTACAGCTACAGCCAAGGTCTTATTTTCTTCAGTTTTATATGTAGAACCAGTCAGTCACTGGTTTTGTAATCAACGAAAACAATGCTGTGTCATTTCCTCGTGTGTTTTAATATTCTACGTATTATTAATGAATTGTATTGCTCATTTTGCACACATAAACATTAATTCAATAAAAAAGACATTCAGTAATAAACAATAATGAATCTTTTGTACATAAGAGAAATGACGCTGTTTACACATTATGCACGTCGTCTGCACGTTGGCGGGCCGTTCAAACCCGTCGAAATTCAAGTTTCCACCGTCAAAATTTTTATTTATTTATTTTTTGTGTTTCCAATAAAATACGTTAAGAATTAAAAACTCGCGAAATTTGAGAAGCTACTATACGACATTTAACCCTTCAATATGTCTTCAAAGAGACCATGATGCAGAGAAAGTGGTGCTAGTGCTTCCAAGCATAAGCACAAGTCACTATCTATCCAGGAAAAGGGTGAATTTCCATGGTCCGGCAATTTCCATGGTCCGGCACCGGTCAGGTCCCGAGGTTGCCAGACTAGAGAGGTACAACCTGTAGTAAGTTAGCATTTTCAGAAATTTAGGTCTTCAGCAAAACTGTTTATGATAGCAGAAACAAAAACTAATATTAATTTCACCTTTTTCTTGATGTAAAGGTAATTCGGCGCAACTTGACTGGAGTGGACACAACCGACAAGGACTTTGAGGCCCTGGCTGCTGTCCCAACTTACCCTGGCTCAGAGACTCACGGTGGTGAAGATGTTGCAGCATATGCCATAGGTACAATATCAGTTCACATTGTTTAATCCTTTATCTTGACTGTTTATATATTTAAAAAAAAGTTGGGGTTCAAACTGGTTATGTTTAAGAATTGTGGCATACTGCCTATGAATAATGGATAACTACTAGGAGTTATATCTCTTCGGCTCTTGATAAAAAAAAATATTGCCCAAGAGGGTATTTATCCATTGACCAGTAGAAAAATCGGTAGTCTCTAGTTAAAGCATTGCACTACTTTTTTTTTATCCATGATTTAACCCTTTCATAGTTATGTCAGTTGGATAAATCTCAACCCCATTACCTATTGGGCTGACAATACCTATTATGGTATTAAAAAATGGGGTTGGACTTCTTTGCTTTAATATTCAGAATAAAAAAAAATTATATTTATAAATATTTGTTGGCTGTGCATTATGTGAGGGGTTGTGGCTTTATCTGAGACGAGTCAGCAGGAGGGGGTCTGGGAACTGTCAGGCTCTTAGTGATGTAACCTGCATCATTAGCCATTAAGAAGGTTAATATTTACTTTACTTTACTTTTATCCTCTTTACCACTGATTGGCTTGTTAGCCGCTTGGGCGATCTGTCACGTCTCTGTTACACACTGTTGGCAAGTACTGGGCATGCACCGACTCCTGAATTTATCTGAACCCGCTCCAGTGTTGGTTAAGTCTGGTCTTGAAAGAGCTCACACTTGGTGCCGTCACAACACTTTCTGGTAGATTGTTCCAAGAGTTCACAACTCTCACTCCGAAAAAGTTTGCCCTCACAGTTTTCTGGACCTGCGGCTTCTTCAATCATGAGCTGTGACCCCTTGTGGGGCGAGCGTCCGCCAGCTCCAAGTAAGGACACTCGACTGAGTAATGCCCCTTGAGATGCTTATACACCTCAATTAGGTCACCCCTTGCCCGTCTGTACAGTATCAAACTTACAGAATAAATGAAATGCTGGTAATTATTTCAACCAATTTTGTTGAATTAAATTTCCTCCAACGAAAGGTGGGTTGGTTCCTCATTTCTTTTTGTGTCAAAGGTCACAAACAAAAACATCATAAATAAAAAAAAATATATATATATACAGCGAGACCCCGACTTACGACGGGGTTAGGGACCCAAATCCAGGTCGTAAGTCCGAATGGTCGTAAGTCCGAATGGTCGTAAGTCCGACATAGATAAAAAAAAATAATTTTTTTTTTTAATAAAAAATCTACAATGAAATACAGTACAGTAAAAGTAATAAATAATGAGGAATGGATACAGTACAGTGAAAGTAATAAATAATGAGGAATGGATACAGTGTGACTGAGCACTTACCTTTAATGTAGTCAGCTGAATGCACATGGGGCCCCCATAATTTTCAAATTATACATGGAGACTACATTAACTGGAAACGTTTCGGTATAGAAAATGCGTGTGTCATTTGAAAAGAAAAAGGAAGTCGGGGTCTAGCACCAGGACACTCGCCCCTGCTGTTAGATCGTCACCCCAACGTAAAAGTGGTCTTCCTTCCTCCCAACACTACGTCATTAATACAGCCCATGGACCAAGAATTGATCTGTAATGTGAAAGCTACATTCTCTGCAAAGAAATTTAAGCTCCTGAACGACTACACCAACACCAAGGATGAGTTGCATAACCTGGGTGATACCGATAGCAAGAGCGAAGACGACGAGGAACAACAGTTGGCAGAGCAAGAAGTATTTGTGAAACAATTTTGGAGAACATTCAACGTCAAGAAAGCTGTGGACTTCTTGGTGGAGGCATGGGATCAACTGTCTGTAGCAACTGTTCGTCACGCATGGAGACATGTGTTGCAAGGTATTCCAGGTGGGAGGCAGAGTAAATCTGTGACTGGTGAGGTTCAGACTGTTGTAGAAGCAGTGGACCTTGCCAGAGAAGCTGCGCAGAGTGTTACAGCTGCAGGCTTCTCCGAGACCACCAACGATGACATCCTGGAGGTGATAAGGGATCCTGATGTGACTGCCAATGAGATGCTAGATGATGATGACGTCAGTGAAGAGGCAGGTGGTGCGTCATCCCAAGAAGAACGCAAGTTATCACATAATAATGTAAGGGGTGCCATCGAGTGTGTTGAGAAACTCACCCTGACGATAACCGTTATGAAATCTTCACTACCCAGCTGTTGCAGACTATGGAGCCCTAGATCAAGGTGTATCGCAACAACATCAACACCAGCCGTCAGCAAAGCATTACCGAGTTCTTCGCCCGCAACCCACCACAGCCAGCCCAAGCCAGTGATAGTGACAGACAGAGACAATGATGATGACTTTGAGGGATTTGTCAGGGAGCACTAGTAAGTGTGGATAAAAGTGATGAAGACTCACCTGAGGGCCAGTAGCCTGCCCTCTGCCTCGGAACCAGCCTCCATTCCCGTACGCCGACCCATCTCTTCTAACGTAAGTGTTAACCTTAACCTTGTTTTTTTCTAACCTAACCTACAGTATATTATTCCCTTATTGATTGTTCCCTTCTATATTATGTGTGTGTGAATACCATCATAAAGTTAAGATGTTATTTTTGCTAAAACGTATGTATTGTGTCGGGAAAAAGTGGAGTTTGGGGGTTGGCCCAGTCTCTATTTCAATTAATCCCATATGTTATGTTGTTCACTTTACGCGGGCCGCCGTGGGTTCAATTGACTGCGTAAAGTGAGGGTTCACTGTATATCCAAAAATGTAATTGAGCTTTGGATATATTTTGCAAGAATACAGCACTAGCAATTAGATAAGCAAAATTTTGAAAATTTCATTGAGTTTTGAATAGCTGTGTAAGAAGAAAACCAATATGAAATAAGGAGTCGGTATATTTTTTTACACAAGCCACTTTCTACTTTTGAGCTGCTTAGCTCCATGAACTTATATAATAATTATTTATTTTTATGCTATATAATAGCATAATTTAGTTGAGAAAAAGCACAAATAATCTGAAAATTTTGATAATAAATTATATAAATGCCTCGCATTATACTCACTACCCCTCACGTACACCCATGCACACATGATTCAAATTGTACCCCTAAAAATGTAGCTAAATCTGGCGTCTTTTAGTCCTACCTGCTTATTTATTGGTTGGTTTAGGCAATGATAATATAAATTATGTTTCCATGTAGGACACAGGCAAGCGGGCCGTTTGAAATAAAGAGTCGCCAATATTGATGCTCGTCCTTCAGCAGTATGAAAAACGTCTCTTATAGAGACACACCACACTTCGTGGGTCAATGGAACTACGCAATTGTCACAGGGCTCAACAGGGAATGACGGTAGCAAAACATGATGGCCACTCTGACATTCAGCTATTCGCATACATTTTCCCTCTGTCAATATACTTTTATTTATTCAAATATAAAAGTAACGTGTAACATTTGGAATATTCACTTTCCACTATCTTTACAGGACCAATGTCTCACCTTTTCCACCGGGTCCATGAGCAGAACTATGTGGCTCATGTGATGGCCTACGCAGCATGTATTGGTCCTTATGAAGATAATTGTGATCGTCCAGCAGAAATACCCCAAAATCTCTACAAACATGTGAAAGGCATCAGAAGAAAAAGTAGTACAAGTTCAGGAATTTCATTGAACACAACCAGTTCTGTAGTATTGATGTACGTGGCCATTGTTCACATTACCAAAATGTTAACATATTGAGCACATTCCCAGTTTTTAATGTAACCCTTTCAGAAATAAGTGTTTTGATATGCTTCATTTCTTGTTGAAAACTTACTTTAGGTATTTATTTAATATAAATTGTTATTTAATTGTGTTGAAATGCTTGTTATGCTGTGCACTTCTTATATTTAATATTTACTAAAGCTTTTATTTTTAAGTTAACTGCAAATATTTATCAGAATGGACATAATATGGTTTGGTATTATGGTGCAATTTTGTTTACAGTACAGGCATCCCCTAATTTATGAAAGGTTTGTATTCCTGGAAGACCATTCATAAATCAAGGCCAATTTTTCAGAGATTTTTATTAATTAATGGAAAATATTTTCTTATAAAGTTATGACACTGAAAACCTAATAATCTCTTGTGGTTCAAAGTACAAGGCAGAATGTTGTCAGCATGTATATTTAATATTTTTATAGGTAAGCATTATTACTAATATGGTTAGTTGTACAGCATTAATAAATGTGCATGTATTATATTTCTTATTGTTTTATATATAAAATTGATTAGTTTAAACAATGGATCAGTCAAGAGAAAAGTCTAGGCATCAAGTAGGTGCACAAACTGTATCTCCATACTAGCCATGTTGTTTGTTGATTCACCCCTTCCTCCACCAAGCACCTCGTATGATCTAACTGGATTAAATTCTTGGCTAATATATAATCTTAGAATCATCAACTCACAATTCATGTTAATTTTTCTCAAAATACTGTAAATATCCTGTAAAAAAAATGTGCTGTAAGTGGACCGTTTCATTTCATTTAAAAAAAATAGGTAAAATGATTTTTATAGTCCATTTATTAGTATTTTTTAGTCTTAACTTAGACTTTGCAAATTCTGTATTGTACAAATATGAAGTGTCTTTTATGTAGTTTCGTCTTATTATGCAAGTATAGATGTAGTGAGTGAGTGTACAGGTAGTGTATAATATAATACAAGATGTCTATGAGGCCAGTAGACCAGTTACAGGATTCAAAAGAAGCCTCTCAAGCAGCTGCCAGACTCCACTTGCACTATTAAAACAAGTGAAATGGCTCATTATATCACTTGTGTAATGTAATGATGAAAAATATGAAACTTAACAAGCAAGCAGACTAATTACAATCCTTTTGTATACATTATATACATATGTATCATACATTCATCATACATGTACCATATTATTATATATGTATCATGCATTATATATATATATATATATATATATATATATATATATATATATATATATATATATATATATATATATATATATATATATATATATGATATATAACTATATATATATATATATATATATATATATATATATATATATATATATATATATATATATATATATATATATATATATATATATATATATATATATATATATATATATATACACACACACAGTCGACCCTCGTTAATTCGGACCCCTTTAATCCGGATTTCGGATAAATCGGACGAAATCTGAACTGTCCATATCAAATTTCTGGTTCTGGGATTGTCCGAGTTGCAATTGGGGTTGCAATTTCAAATTCTGTGTCACTACTAAGAAATAACAAAGTCCCTGGTGCATTCTGAGATTAAGAGAAAACGGACGACTCAGGCGTCCTGAAGTGAGAGAAAACGGACTCCTATGACGGGGCACTCAAATAGAGAGACATGGCTACATGTTTTGTGGACTAGCCACTGTACAGTATCCTTTTCATCACTTTGTAATAAACCTCGTTATGCCTATGTGTTTCTGATAATTATCATAACATTATATATTTATATATTTAGCGGTTGTACAAACACAAGGCCTCACACATGCCATTCAGACTGACAGACTTGACAAGTTTTACCAACGGTTAACGCTCATAGGAGCGTTATTGGTTTGTTGCTGGAGAAATAAACCCTCAACATTGACGAGTACCATATAATTCGGTCAAAACCTGTTAAAGAACATTTCTCATATAACAAATGCTGTTATCTCAGGACACATATTATGAAGAAGAGAGTCGAGGAGGAACGGAGACAGGTGCACATGGGTTATACTCAGGGGGAGGGTAGTGGAAACAAGTGTGCCGATGTAACGGGCCGAGTTTTCTCTTTTCAATAATTTACCATATAGATATTATTTTTCTGTAGTATTCTATTTACTCATATACGTATTTGTTCTGGGTAGCATTCCTCCAATGAGTACCCTGTTTAATATACTTATTCTCCTTCCATTCTGTACATATATATTTATTCTTATATGTTCTTACTTATATTCTTATATGTTCTTTACCTCTATATACCTTATATTCTCATATATTCTTATATAAGTAACTCTTATGGTTCTCTACTTATGTTTTCCAAGTCAAGGTTCTTTCTTTTCATTTCCTTTCATATAGATTGTATTCTCAGTTTCAATGTTCTTACCTTTCTGAAGTATACTTTGTTTTATGTCTTTCTTATACATGGGTTAGTCTGGGGAACCATGTTATTCTTTGTATAACACTTTTTATACTTACAAGGGGTAGCTGCCACCACCCAGACTTTTCATTATATAATAGCACTCATGGAAGGGTTGACTCGTTACACACTGGCAGAGTGGTGAGGGCGCTTCCCGGGGGGATCGTGTCCTGGGATTCTAAATGCGCCCTTAGAGACAGTCTTCAAGAACGATGGTGCCCATAGGTAGTTATCGACCCTCAGGAGAGTGGCTAACACATCCGCGTCTGTAGACGTGGAAGAAGAGTCACGAATGCGTGAATATTTAACTTCACTATACAAAACATACGTCTGGCACCGGTTCAGACGATAGCTAGAGCTCTACTTTACTTGACTTAATTGGCACTGAAGGTACTATGTTGAAACATGAACACTGATATTCGAAAAAATGACTAAGTTAAACTGAGTTAATATGGCGGCGTGGAACACACGTGAACATACCTGTAGACGTGGAAGAAGAGTCACGAATGCGTGATTCTCCCTCGTGTAGAGGTATATACGTGCCCCCGCTGGGCAGCTTGGGCCTCCATATTCATGCCAGAAAGGTCAATCTTACCAACAACATACCTTCTCTACCAGGTTGGATCACCGTATATTTAATTATGAACTCCGGTGTTCCGGATCAGGGTAATTTCCTATGTCTATTCATATAATCTAATCAGAGGTTGAGCTTGCCAGGAAAAGGTGGAATATACACGTTGATAAAAACAATTCTGCAAGCTCAGGCCTGCAGCGAACAAGGAACTATTCACAGGGAGACGTTAGATCTTGGAGATTATACCAGCTGACAGAATAGTTCAGGAAATTAATGACTTTCTTAAATAGATAACTGACACTAATTAAACTACAAACATCAGATTCTCTGATGTCGGGGCGACAAAATGATCTAACTTCAGGCGCGATCAGAAACTCCTGGATATCTTAGGAAACGAAACCGATGGGTATCGTTTGTCCTGGCAGACTCAACACTCACTTACTTGACACGTCTTACCAACAATAAGGACAGTTGAAGCGTTCAACACCACTCACAATGGATCTTGAATGTTTCAACTGTAAACCGACATATCTAAGCTGACTCTAAACCAGGGTGTTCTCTCTCACATTCAAATTCATTTTATAGAGAGGTTGGTTTCAGTAAGTCAGAGAAAATGGGATAACGGAGGACTGAGGCGTCTTGAAGTGACGAGAAAACGGACTCCTCAGATGGAGGACTCAAAATAAAAGCAGAGGTACATGTTTTGTGGGCTATTGAGCGTAATATGAATCATTTGATTTTGGCGTTAATTGACGTGTACGACCGTGGTCGTTACACCGACACAGGGCCAGGGGGCAGCAGTGCACCCCCCACCCGGGAGGCGGCACCAGCTCAGCCTAACGGACAGGAGGGAACGAGCGCCGTGTAAACAATGACATTTTTAACCACACCCTGCAAAATACAGTGTACTTAGCAAATGCTGCAGCTTCTGAGAATGTGGGTGGAGCGGGTTTATTACTAAGAGCAGAGACGTTACCGAGAACAAATTCTGGCTTGAATGTCATGTACACTAATACTGACACGTTCCTTGATAAGAGAGAGGAGTTTGAAACACTACTAAGAGTACACCAACCAGATATTGTAGGAGTTGTAGAACTGTTGTACAAGAACAGGAGAATCAACTCAGAGGAATGTGAGTTCAGTTTTGCTGGATATGACTCATTTACGAACCTAACTCAAGAATCCTGCAGGAGGGGTGTGGTTATCTACGCTAGGCAAGACCTTTTAGTCAGCCAGGCGAGGGTACAGGGAGAGGATGTTTTTGAAGAGTCCAAGTGGTGTAAAATTAAATTAAAGGGAGGGGACTTACTTATCGTCGGGTGTATCTACAGATCCCCAAACTGTGGCCCACTAAATCAAAGGAACTTAAGAACCTTAATATACAATGCGGCGATGCTCAACCCCAGCCACCTCCTTATCATGGGGGACTTTAACTATGGCGACATCGACTGGAGAAACGAGTCCACCCCGAATGACTTGAATAATCCTGCTACTCTTTTTGTAGAAACTCTGAGAGATAATTTTCTGTTCCAACATGTGAGAGACCCGACACATTACAGAGGGGAGCAAACACCCAAGCCACTTGACCTCATCATAACAAACGAGGAGGGTATGGTGGCCAAACTGGAACACCTTGCCCCAGTTGGCACCAGTCACCATACAGTGTTGTCATTCAGATTTAACTGTTACCTAGTTCAAGATAAGGCCAGGCCAAGGTGCAAATATTACAAGGGAAATTACAATGGGATGAGGGAAGAGATGAGGGGTATCAACTGGCCTGACTTATTAAGGTACAAGAACGCAGACACTACGCTGAATATCATAACTAGTAAAATGACCCATTTGATCGATAAATATATACCCAAGACCAAACCCAGTGCTTCTAGGAATACGAGGGGATCCCTACACATGAACCATGCGGCGGTCGACAAAATTAAGAAGAAAACCCAGAAATTCAAGACGTGGGTTGGGTCAAACGATGAGCAAGACAGGAGGATGTATGCAAGAGCCAGAAACCAAGCAAAGATAGAGTGTAGGAGGGCTGAAAAGGAGTTCCAAAGGCTGGTTGCACGCGAGGTCAAGTCAAACCCAAAGGCGTTTTACCGCTATGCAAAGTCGAAATTGAAAACGCGAGTAGGAGTATCAGACCTGAGGCTTGAAGATGGTAGTTACGCAGATTCTGACCAGGATAAAGCTGAGGCATTGAACAGCTTCTTTTCCTCAGTGTTCACAAGAGAGGATGCAACTAACCTTCCTGCGTTTGAGGACAGACGGTTCGACACAGCACTGACCCACATTGTGTTCACAGAAGAGGGTATTAGAAATAAACTGTCCAGGCTAAAGGTCCATAAGAGTCCTGGACCTGACATGGTGCATCCTAGAGTGCTAAGAGAGCTGTGCAACGAGCTTGCAGAGCCCCTGAAGATTCTGTTTTGTAAATGCCTGGATGAACAAATGGTCCCCAGTGAATGGAAAGTGGCTTATGTGAGTCCTATCTTCAAGAAGGGCGATAGTCACTCCACGAACAACTATAGACCGGTGAGCCTGACCAGCATAATATGTAAAGTACTTGAGAGTATTATCAGAGATGCCGCGATGGAACATCTACTACGAAACAACCTTGTAAAAGATTGCCAACACGGTTTTATGCCGGGGCGCTCTTGCTTGACACAATTGCTCAAGGTATTGGATATTTGGACCCATATTCTAGAACGGGGTGGTAATATCGACAATATTTACCTAGATTTTGCCAAGGCTTTCGACAGTGTACCCCACGAAAGGCTGAAAATCAAACTGGAAGGGTACGGAATTCGGGGAAATGTCCTAGCGTGGATAGAAGACTTTCTACATGACCGCAAGCAATGTGTGGTGATTAATGGCACGAAATCGTCATCTGTACCTGTAACAAGTGGGGTACCGCAGGGTAGTGTATTGGGCCCGCTGTTGTTTGTTTGTTTCATAAACGATATGCCTGACGTTGTACACTCCTCCATACAAATGTTTGCCGATGATGGCAAGTTATTTCGGGAAATTAAGAACCAAGCGGACTGTGAAGAGCTGCAGAAGGACCTCTGTGGGCTCCAGGAAT